GGTTGCTCCAAGCCCCATCCAACCTGCCCGTCAACACCTCCAGGGATGGGGCAGCCACAGCTTCCCTGGGCAACCTGCCCCAGGCTCTCACCACCCTCACACCAAAGAATTCCCTCCTCATGTCCAACCTCCATCTCCCTCTCCCACTTTTCATCTATCCCCCTCATCCCATCCCTCCCTGCCCTTGTCCCAAGCCCCTCCACAGCTTTCCTGGAGCCCCTTCAGGCACTGGAAGCTGCTCCAAGGTCTCCCTGGAGCCTTCTCTTCTCCAGGCTCAACACCCCAACTCTCCCAGCCTGGCTCCAGAGCTGCTCCAGCCCTCCCAGCATCTCCGTGGCCTCTTCTGGACTTTATCAGCTCCATGTCCTTCTGGTGTTTGGGCCTCCAGAACTGGCCCCAGTTCCCTAGGGGGGTCTCACCAGAGTGGAGAAGAGGAACAATCCCCTCCCTGACCTGCTGGTCATGCTGCTGGGGATGCAGCCCAGGACACAGTTGGCTTGATGGGTCATGTGGAGATTCCCCTCACCCAACACCCCCAAGGGTCTTCAGATGGGTCACCCTGCGATTCTCCTCACCCAACACCCCCAAGGGTCTTTAGGTGGCCCCAGTTCTCCAGGAAGGTCTCAGCAGAGTGGAGAAGAGGGAGGACAATCCCCTCCTTGCCTTGCTGGTCACGCTGCTGGGGTTAAACCTGGGTGGGGATCCCTGAGTCCCTCTGGGAGCAGGGGGGTTGGTGCTGGAGCCCCCACAGGGCTGCATCTTCTTCCCAAACTAGTTCCTCCATCCCTGCTGGCATCTCATGTTGAGTCCACGAGAGTCCTCCTGGGGCTGAGGGATTTTTTCTCCAGGCCTGGAACAAGAGCTCTGCAGTCCCCCCAAGGCCCCACACTGGACCCACCCCTGACCATGGCTCCTTCCAGCTCTCCCCAGGAGATCCTGGCGTGCCAGGACCACGAGGTCCACATCCTGCCCCCACCCAGCATCCTCTTTCTGTTCCAGCCACATCTTCCCCTTCCACCCCCAGCCAGGGGGGAACAGCCTGGTCTGCACAGAGCAGCCCTGAGGAGAAGGGCTTGGGGGCTGTTGGGGGAGGAGAACCTCAACATGATTAGGAGAACCTCAACATGAGGAGAGCCTTAACATGACCCATCAAAGCCAAACATGTCCTGGGATGCCTCAAAAGAACCGGGGCTGGGCCCGCGCGTGGCCCGGGAGCTGCTGGAGTCTGGGGGTGCTCAGACCCCCACAAAACCCGCGGACCGCCTTGCAGGTTGGGTGGGGGGTCTGTGCCCACCGGGCCCCTTCTGCTGCCCCTTCAGGCTGTGGGAGCTGCGGGCTCCAGGGACACCCCGATCCCGCAGAGTTTGGGGTGATGCTCCCCTCAACCCGCCTGATCCCCGGGAGCAGCGTCTTGGCCCAGAGCTGCCCTGGTCCCTCCCGTCCGTGGGCTCTGTCCCTGCACCCCCCCCCCCCCGTACCCCCC